TCTGTCTCAAAAATAAATAAATGTTTAAAAAAAAAATTTTTTTTTTTTAAAAGGGCACCGAACTCCAAACTTTCGCAATGAAAACCAGCATATCGCCCTCTATTCTCGATAGCTCTTGAATATAGGGCCGTTAACATCCACTTTGTCACTTGCTTTTCTACCTCCTCTGAGAGTGAAGTGGCCAGGGCAGTTGCCGTTCTTATCCTTTCTGCTTTCACATCTTCATCCTCGTCACCAGGTTCTTCTGGATTGGGTTGAGCACCTCTACTTTGGGGGGAAATTCTGCGGACAAAACGAAATGTAGGACAGAGGTTTCTTCGTTATGAATGATATCCTTCAGTCAGCGGCTCTGTGATTGTGCCATTGTTCTTTCTTTCAGTAAACTGGTGATGATGATCATGGCCCCGTGAATACACTGCTTCCGCTTTCCCCAAGAGCTCCCAACCCCGTGGCCAGAATTGCTCCCTTCATGCCCTCCATGCTGTTGCCCGTCTTCCAGTTAGAATCTCTGACCCGTGCCAATGTGCTGACAAATAACTGCTGCTGCTTTCAAAATCAGGTCACCTACATCTTCTCTGTTGACTCTGAGCCCAACTTAAGGACACCTGACATTTGCTTCAGCATCTTTTACTGTCTGCCCTTCCTAGAGCTCTTCTGGAAGGTCCCTGTTATGAAACACTCTGGGCTACATTCCTCAACCAACTCCATCCCACCTCCTCTGTGCAAGGACACGTGATCACCTGAGAGGAGAGACTGGCATATCTGAGTACTCATTAAATTCCGGAGGAACTGAAAACTTCCCTCCGCCGACGAGTGATGGAGAGTCCTGTTTCCAGGCAGTAAGTCAGCAATCCAGTGACCATCGTGAAAATCAGCCTGCTGCGTACGTTGTCAATATAAACCCACGCCAACAGGTCAGTAGCGCAGCCGCTACGTGGGAAGGTTCAAATATGATACTAAATTCGAAATTAAGTTTTCTCCCAACCTGAAAACAGGATCCCTTCGCGTTATTTTCTTTCCCCATTTCGCTTCCATGCATCTCAGGAGAAACACCAGTATCAACGTCTGAAAGTAGGGCTAGGAGCAAAGAACAGCGGTTACACGTCGGCATAAGTTCACAAATATTATTTAAGCGTCTGAATTAGATTGGTGGCCTTTGTCTTCAGGTAAAATACAGGTGAATCATTCTTACAAATCCGGGGAGAAGGCCGGCTGTCCGGTGACCATCCAGCTCCGTGCTTCCTTTCTGCTCACAACCCACATCCTGGCTGTCAGCCGAGTTTATCTGTTCTACCTTCAAAATCACCCGGAACCCAACTGCTTCTCACTCCTGCCTGTGCTGCTCCCCTCCAGGGTCCAGGCCGCCATGATTTCTTACCATGATATTACAACACCTTGCTCCCTGGTCCCCTTCTCCTTCTCCTCCCCTTGCTCCCAAAATCTATGCTCAACACGATAACTAGAACTACTCTTTTACAACATAAGTCTATAAATAAACTTAAAAACAAAAAACCCAAAAAAACACAGGGTGCCTGGGTGGCTCAGTCGGTTAAGCACCTGCCTCTTGATTGTAGCTCAGGTCATGATCTCATAGGTTTATGGGTTCGAGCCCCGCATCGCACTTTGTATTAGCAGCACAGAGCCTGCTTGGGATTTTCTCTCTCTTCCTCGCTCTCTACCCCTCTCCCACTCACACTGTCTCTGTCTCTCTCAAAACAAATAAACTTGAAAACAATAAAATAAACTGAAACATAAGTCTAATCCTATTGCTTTGCTTAAAACCCTCCAATGAGTCCTCAGTTACTCAAAGAAAAGGTAGTCCTTAGAGTGACCCAGAATGCTCTGTGTCAGCTCTTTCTGTCCTCTTTGCACTTTACCCCGTGACCTCTGAGATCTTCTCTTGTACCCTTCTCTCCTCGGTCACTCTGCCACAATCACACTGGCCTCCTTGCTTACCCTGGGACAAGCCAGGGTCCCTCGTGCCCCTATTACAGGAATGCTTTTCCCCAAGCTCTCCCTACAGCCTGCTTTCTTGCCCCACCTCCAATCTTTAGTTCTCAATCAGGCCTTTCCTGACTACCCATTGGACACAATATACGCTATTTATTTTAGTTTATTATCTGGCTCCTTCAACCAGAATATAAACTCTACAGGGGCAGGGACTTCTGTCCAGTTTTGCTTCTACGTCTGGAAAAGTAACGACACGTTGTATCCAGAGACGGTAGCTTTCTTCAGCCCAAGCATACCAACAAAATCATCTTTCCCTTTCATTTTTATTATTCAACGTTGCCCTTTTTATCTCTAATTCAAAGCACTTAAGTTACATCGAACCTGTGTTTCTTACAAGCTCTCTCAAATTTGGAGGTGGCATAAACAGGATAAATAAACATAAAAAGTTAATTTTATATTAAATTCTGGACTTACCCAGTCCACTCAGGCATATAAAAACTAACTCATGATTTGGATTCATGTCTGAATTATCTTATTCTGAGACTGTATCAAAAGGGCTTTCAAAGCTGGTACCCATCAGATAAAACCAAATAGTTATTGTAGTAAATGGTAACTATAAAAAAAAAAAATAGGTAAAGAGGTAGAAAGGCCTTCTTACTATTAGGCATACTAGAAGATCAACTCCACTCAGATCAAAATGGCGGTCCTGATTGTCTGAATGGTACGCCTGGGCTCTCTGCAAAGACAAAAAGAAAAAGAGCTAAGTGGAAATTCATCAGCTTTATGATGTGCATTTAAATAATGAAATTCCAATAAACCAACCAACCAACCAACCAACCAATCAATAAAATGAAATTCCATAAATTGCATATTTTCAATGCAAGCATCAAGCTTGATTCCTCTGTGTGCCCCGGTGACAAATATTCCACTGCAGGGAAGAGAGGGGACCGCTACTCAATGCTGTCTCCCAGTGAACAGGTGACCTGTGTCTGTTCTCTTTTCCAATCTTTTGTTGTTGTTGTTGCTGTTGTTGTTGTTGTTGTTTAATCTTTTGTTTTAACATTTGCTTCAGGTCTACTGAAGGCATCACAGAGAGAGGATCCTTGTGAAAAATAATAGGGATTGACAATATTTGTCCCAAATGCCCCTCAAGAGCCTTTTCTGGGCCCCTTCCTACCCTGATGGTGACTTTCCCACCATAATACGTTAGCCACATCATGCTATTCTTCCTTCATCAGTCAGTACGTTCAGAAAGTAGCTCATTCCTCCTAAATAATGTATGACAGATATAAGTTAGTGTGGTTCACTCGGCAGGTCTGCTTATATTTTAGGGGATTGCTTTAAGCAAAGGAAGGGATTTCCAATTGAGAATTCTAAGTGTTCCTCAATCAATGGAAACGTGCTTTTGCAGACAGAGGGCTTCCCAGGGGCCCCAAGAACCTGAGGGATTAGGGCAGCTTTCTCTACTTTCTTTGAAGTATCATCCAGGATGATGTGGGGCCCTAAAGAGCATCTTCCTGGCTGAGCTATCCAGCACATCTATCTCCTCGTGCACTTCTTTCCATTTGAATCCCACTTTCTTTAATGCCTCCTGGTCTTTCCTGTTTCAGTGCCTTTGCCTCCCTCCACAGAACATGCTTACCTTCTGCCCCCCTCTCCTGCTAATTAATTCTGACTCATTCTTCAGGATCCTGTGGAAGCATTGCTTCCCCCAGAAGAATCATCTGACTCTCTAGATCATGTCAGCTGTGCTTTGTATCTTGCCCTTGGCACTTTGCCCTTCTCTTTTGGAACTTTTAAGCCTTTTGCACTGAGTCGTTTCACCAAGTGAATGGTGAAAGGATGAATTGTGCTATCTTGCTCATCAGGTGTCCCCAATGACCTGCACAGTACCTGACACAGAATACTGTTTCCCAAAGACAAGCACAGGGTCCAACACAGACCACTGGTTAATGTGTATTTTCGAATGAATAAATGACCCTGTATATGGTTTTATACTCACAATGGATAATGAATACCTATTAAACTAGGCAACGGTTTTCAATCTGGCATTAGATTTGAATAGCATTTGACAATGCTTATGTTTTGCAAAGTGCATATGGCAAAACTTTATTGAGGTTAATTTTTCATGCCAGGAAATTCACCCACTTTAAGTATACAATTCAAGGATTTTCAGTAAATTTACAGAGTTGGGAGAGCATCACCACAATTCACCTTAGTAACATTTTCATCACCCCAAAGAGATACCTCATTTGCATTTGCTATCAAACCCCATTCCCAACCCAACCCAACCCCAGGAAACCACTAGCCTGCATTCTGTCTTTACGGAATTGGGGCAAAGCACTTTAATAGGCTGCATATTCAAAATTAATGACATATTAACGGTTAATATTTCTTACCTCTGCCAAAAAAGCTAGAAATTCACCCATGGTGGATGAGGGAATTAATATCATGCTGGAAATCAAGACAGGTAAGTTGAAGTGATTCATTAAAAGGGTGTCAAACATAATGGTTGAGGTCTACAAGGCAAGTGAAGATATACTGCAGGTCAGACATATACAGTCCCTTGATATTGGGGAAAATATTTAAAATGTAAATGTTATCATCTATATCAGAATTTCCCCACATACAGATTTACCACTTTCAGATGGAGAAGGGAAGGGAGGGGTTTTAGTTAATGAGAATAAACGTGACTGTGAGCTCCCCAACAGAAACATTTTACATAAAAACCTGGAGATTAAGGCAAAGACTTCCTAAGAGTGCATTAAGTGCAGTCTAAGACAATAAGATAAAGAGAGAAATCACCCTTTTACAGCTAAGGTAACAATATTGTGAATGTATAAAAACCTGCATAAGATGAGAAGCTATATGGGTAGTTATTTGTTTTATTTTTTTATTTAAAAAAGTTTTTGTAATGTTTTGTTTATTTTTGAAGGAGAGGGAGATAGAGTGTGAGTTGGGGAGGGGCAGAGAGAGAGGAAGACACAAATCCGCAGCAGGCTCCAGGCTCCGAGCTGTCAGCACAGAGCCCAATGCGGGGCGCAAACTCACGAGTCTTGAGATCATGACCTGAGCTGAAGTCTGATGCTTAACCGACTGAGCCACCCAGGGTCCCCTATGGGTAGTTATTTTAAAAAGTCCGTACTGCCTCCTACCTTCTCAATGTCATTCCTGCTCCATTTACGCCCCATTCCAAACAGATAATTTTATCTGCATTTTGATTACACTGATTGATTTTGAGACTCTGCATTTTGATTACAATGGACTTATTTGCTTTCAAAATACTGGTAAATGTGGGATGAGGGATAAAGATGATTTTTCATTGTTCTGTTTTAAGGATCAGTTTATTAGCCCACAGTGTGTATGGAGCACGATATTGAACATTTTCTGGATCTTATTAGTGTGAGAATTATCATAAAAATAGTAAAAGTTGTAGCTATTAAGTTCGCTGAATATCACACAAACCCCAGGCATTAAGAACCTGGCATGCGTTGTTTGTTTTAATGCTCACAACACCATAATGTGGTCATTCTTCCTATCCCTTCCTTGTATGGGAAATCCAGGGTTTGGAGACCATAACTAACATCCCCAAGACCACACAGTCAGTCAGTGACAAAGTCGGAATTCAAAACCCTATGTGTGTGTGATGCTTAAGTCTTTATATCAGAAAACTATACTGTTTAGTGGGTTACATAAGGGAATGTTGAATGGCTACTCAGTGAATTTAGAGTTTGGGGGGAATGGATAATCTACACATAAAAAACAATTGGGAATACAACTAAAGAAGTTGTAATCAAGGGTTCAGTAAGAGCACAATAAGCATTTTGATGGCAAATTCAAAAAAATTTTCTCATTTTACAACCAATAAGCTAAGACTCAGTGTGCCAAGAAGAGAGGTTACCTCTCTTCTTGGGCTGACATCATGGGCACCATCATGGGCTGACAGGTGCTTCCTTATTAGACAGGGACCTAAGATACCCATGAGGTACCACACCCTGTGGGCTATGAGAATCCACTGGACTCCAGAAACAAATTGACAGCTGACTGTGGCTTCACTCAGTGATGGAGAGGCCTCGCCTACACTGTCCTTGCAAATATACCCAAGATCACAAAAGGACAGCTGCACTGCCCATGGTCCGATACGTTTCTATATACGATCTGTGAGTGATAATGAATGACCTGGTGTGGTTTAAATGGATACTAACTGCGTCGTGCAAGATCGGTTCTCGCAACACACGTTGCCTCAACACATATTTCGAATAAAATGATAAGTTCTTTGTACCAGGCACAAAGGTATTGCAAAACAGCTTGAGGTCTGTGCGAAGATGGACGGTGCATGGCAAATCAAAGAGTTACGCCCAAATCAAGATGCTGATCAGAACAGACTTTAAATTAATATTGTCAACCTTGCTGCTACCTCATACCTTGTGACGTGTGTAATGATGTGCGTGAGGTTGGAGGCGTCAATTTTATTCTTGAGTCGCCAATAGTTTGTGTGTGACCTGGAAACAAGCGACTCATTTTTCCTCCTCTATAAAATGAGGTGAATGATACCAGATAACGAATTTTTTTTTTAAATCTGACGTTCCAATATTCCATAAGTATGTAGCTTCTTTTCACTGATAGAAAAATAAAATGTTAGAGACCAACACACTGAAATAGATACAGATGAGAAAGGAAAAAGGAAAATAATCAGAAAGTATAAACCTGTATTATACTGGAATACTAGAGTACATATATATTTTTTACATCTTGAACAAAGAAATGTTTATTTTCCAAAATTTACTTTGCCTCTGCAATACTGCCTCATCTAATTTTACTCTGTAATAATTCAAAAATAGTTGGCAGCAAAGGAAAAAGCCACCCAATCATATGTAAATATATTTCTATTTGAAAAACAGTGTTTTGGAGCTGCGTGTTCAATTATCTGCTATAGCCCTTTATTAACTAGTTGGTTCATATCACAGTGTGAACGTCTTAACCATCACGTTATTCCACAATCCTAATAGGACAGGTGATTTGCATTAGCATGACTTTGCTTAGAAAGAGCAGAGTCAAATTTCTTCATTCGTTCATTTATTCACTTGCAGCTGAAAAATTATGCGAAAGAATTTATATGACAATGCGGAATCTATTTTGCCTTCTACCATGTTTTGAAGGAAATTTGCCTTCACGAGACTTTCATTATTTATATCTTCCCCGCTCCCTAAGCCAAGCAGTGAGAACTATTGTTCTGGCAGATTCTGGTGTATCGAGTCTGGAAAGCCTTCATATTCTGTTGAACTGATACCCTTTGGGGGCACCTGGGTGGCTCAGGCGGCTGCGCGTCCAACTTCGGCTCAGGTCATGATCTCTCGGTCTGTGAGTTCGAGCCCCGCGTTGGGCTCTGTGCCGACAGCTCAGAGCCCGGAGCCCGTTTCAGATTCTGTGTCTCCCTCTCTGCCCCTCCCCCGCTCATGCTCTGTCTCTCTCTCTCTGTCAAAAATAAAAAAAAAGAAAGAAAGAAAAAAAAAAGAAATGATACCCTTCGAAATCCTAGAACTTGGCTGACAAAATTCTGTCCACATTTTCAACAACCTTGGGCATTCAGTAATCTTTCATTCATATTGACCAGTAAGTTCTCTGGCGTAGGTACAAAAACATCTCCAATCTTGGAAATTATTAGTGTCTGAGGTTCAAGGATACCTTCTTGAAGCCCGTAGAAATGGACTGTGACATTTGACAGTACAGTCCATTTCTGCTGACAAATGTTACAAAGCCATTTTTTGTTCTAATGTCACCAGGAAGCCCTGTATTCTGAAGAACCCATAAACTCAATAGTAGCACCTTGCACTTCCGGTCTTCTGTAAGGTTCTCCAGAAACGCTAGTCAAAGGGTTGTACGTGACTTCTCCAGGAAGGTCACTGACTCGGAAACATGTAACATTTCCTCTCCTTTCTACAGTGTAATCGAAAGGTATTACTTTTTTCCCATTTCTCAAGGCAAAGGTGACCATATCTAACGTGACAGTGAAAGTTTAAAAAATAACTGTCTCTCTATCAATAGGTTTGTACGTGTACTTACGATAAAGAAGCAAAATGACCAAAGGCCACTATTTTTTCTCCTCTTGCGAAAAATAAACGATATCACATACGTCAAGAAGACCAGCGAAGCTGCATAACCAAGCGTAATCACAGCCTGAAGATAATACAAACAGAATCAGGGTCAAACCCTGAAGTATTAACCGAGGGAAAAATTAAATTACAAATCTTTTAAAATGTCTTATTGCACATGCACTTTGAATTTTTTTTGGTTTTAGTTGATGACAAAATGAAAATGCGTATGTCTTCCTTATAGAAAATATCAAGCGTTATAATTTATAAGATATCGTCTATATGGTGTGTCACTTACCAGGGCAAACACAATTCGACTTGTGATATAAATGCTCGTTATGTTTGCGATGTAGAAAATTAAATACATTGAAAGGAGAAGAAAAACGAAGAGGCTAATATCCACCAGTGCCTGCCCACACCAGTAGGCAGAAGGGTAGAGGCCAGAGATCCATAGCTGGGACTTAGCTCTCCTCTGATGAGAAAACAGGAGATACACAGATTCAGTTGAAATCCAAATCCAAAACAAACACACTGGGGGAGATTTTAAAGATAAATGGAATCAAGTCATTGTAGATCTTCTAATAATTTAATTATGCACATACTATTTAGAACCCGAGGTCTAAAGAGCCAATTCCATAATGGCGGCCATTGTGAAAACATGTTTTATTTTATAGGTTAGATTCCCACTTTAACACATGCCTAATGAATAGAAAAGCAGATCTCATACTGATCAAGGCATAGGCCTCCTTCAAGAGAGATATTGTTCTGTGACCTGAAGGACAATACCCATTACCCAAGTATGTTCTGGGAGTTCCAGGCTCAGAATAGGGATGGTGATTCAAAGTTCATCTGTCCCATTGGCTAAATCTGATTTAACTGTTTTGCTTTGGATCACAGACAGGAACAAATACAAATACAACCACAAATTTTATCTTTGTAAAATATAAAGTCAAATATAATTCAGGGCCCACTTCAGGGTCTACACCAAAAAGAATTGAAAGCAGGGTCTCAAAGAGATATCTGTGTCTATCACAGTAGAAAGGGGACGCAAGTCTTCAATCTGGTTCTCAGCGTGAATATCAACGATTTCTTTCTTTTCCTTAGGAAACAACGCAGTCGAAAGTCGTATAATAATCCCCTTTGAAAGTTTACATTAATTTGAGTCCCTGTAAAATTATTTTTCCTGAAATTTTGAAGTAAAAGACACTTTGTGTTTTGGAACTAAACTTTCTGACTTGATAGACATAACGCTTAACTATACTATCTAAATTAAATGCATGTTTATATGTTTTCCTTACAGGGAAACATTTTGAACACACACCATTTAGAACACAATTTCTGAAGTCCCCGCAGTTCCCCCCACCCCCCTTTCTTACTTTGTAATCGCTGACACTGCTCATGGAGATGTAAGGGGACATGCTGCACACCACCCAAAATAAGAACATGGAACCTTCTGGCAGCCCAATCCAGAATAACACGTAATTCTGCAAATGTAAAAAAGGCACTTTAAACTGGTGAATGTTTTAAAAAAAAAGAAAGGAACAAACGCTAATTATCATCCAGAATACGCTTTTCGAAGTCTTAGAAAATCAAAATAAAAGTGTATGCCTAGTTCAGCAACATCTATGCATGAAGGTGGGAGGGGAAACGATGTCCGATCATTTAACGTGAGGCTTCACCTTCTAGAAGAAAACAAGAAGCAAAATATAACTCGGGACCCACATCAGGGTGTACATCGAAAAGAATGAAAGCAGGGGTCTCTAAGAGAGATCTGCCCACACATGTTCATAGCAACACTATCCATAATAGCCAAGACGTGGAAGTAACCCAAATGTCCATTAAACAGAAGAAGGAATAAACACCGTGGGGTATATATACATACAGTGGAATATTATCCAGCCTTTAAAAGGAAGGACCTCTTATCACATGTTACAACATGGATGAATTTTGAGGGCATTACTCTAAGGGAAATAAGCCAGTCACGAAAAACTAAATGCTACATGATTGTCCTTATATCAGGTATCAAAAGTAGCAATAAATTAATAGAAACAGAAAGGAGGATGATGATTAGCAGGGCCTGGGGGAAGGGGAAAATGGGCTGGTCTTGTTTGACGGGGATGAAGTTTTAGTTCTGCAAGACGAAGAAGTTCTGGACATCTGTTTCACAATAATGCAAATAGACTTAACACTACTGAACTATATACACTTAAACATGGCTAAGAAGACGAGTTTTATGTTATGTGGTTTGGCCACGATACCAAAAATAATCATTTGGGAATTACGATCCTGGAAACACAGATTATTCCGTTCCGAGTCACATGTCTTTCTCAGCAAACCCGGTGACAGATGTGTGAAGACACCAGCGTCTAGTCAGATGTATTCTGAAGATGAAGATGGCCCTTCGTGCCACCAAGCCAGTGGGCCAGGAGATGAACTTTGAGTCACCGTCCCCAAACCAGTGTCTGCCCGGGGCTGGGTCTATGCTCAGGCAGGGTACAGGCCTGTCTCTTGGGTATAATGACAGTTCAGCGGTACGGTAGGCTAACTCAAAATAATTCTACCACTCTCCACTTCACTTAAGGCTTGAGGGGCTTTGCCCATCCGTTCAAATATTTCACCAGGTGGGAAAATGCCTCAGTGTTTTCATAAGAACGGCCGAGAGAAGAAAGGTATGTGCCGCTGGGGAGGCCTAGGAGAGGAACCTTGGGGCCTTGTCTATTCTGATCCTGAATAAACAAGTAATGACATTTAGAAACTAAAAGATCACGAGGGGATAACATCTATCTCTTTCTACTGCCACTTGATTCTACTTTCTGGAGTGTTCCCTTCAGACCACCCTACTCTTGCACTGTGCTGGCTCTCACAGTTAGTGGTGGCTTCACTCACAGATGCATGTGTCCATCGCTGGCCTCTCAAGTATATTGTGTCCATCTTCTCTTTGCACGTACCCCCAGCACCACTAACGCAGAGAAGCCAAAACTGAATTCAACCCCTTGGTCACAAAATGGGCTTCCCCTTTTGATGGCTCCATTTTTTTTTTTTTTGAGAGAGAGAGAGATAAAGAGCAGAAGCGGTTGGGGGATGGGCAGAGAGAGAGAGGGAGAGAGAGAATCTCAAGCAGGCTCCACGTCCAGAGCACCCGGGGCTCGATCTTACAACTGTGAGATCATGACCTGAGCCGAAATCAGGAGTCAGATGTTTAACCGACTGATCGGTGGCTCCATTTCGAATCCTGTTTTTTGTGCTTCCAGTCTCCTGGCTTGAAATAGTTTGAGTCAGCTCTTAAGAGATCCCTCTTGAGTATCAAAGTCTGACCAGAAAACCATTTCCACCTTCAGTACTTAGAAAGAAAACAATCATGCACTGGTTACATGAGTGGACAGAGCAGAGAAGCCAACGAGGATGATAAAGCAAGAAGACACCGTCACTTCTGGGCTGGAGGGGCAAAGGAAGGAAGCAATGTGACTGGAGACTGGACCCCCTGCTGCAGGGTCCTCTCGCTCTCCCACCACTGCTTCCTATTGTCCAAATCCAGGCTATAGCCAGCTGACAAGGAGCCGTGGAAATGTAGCCTGTGCACATCAGGTACCCCTGGGATGCAGAGCAACTACGGGTTGATGAAGGAATTAATCAGGAGGCAGATAGCCCAAGAACTGGCTGATTCTCCTTCAGATCCATCTACTGTCCATTTAGTCAATGGGGGTCCACCAACAAATTATATGAGATTTGCAAGATTCTAAAGCTGTTTTACAAGTGTTCTTGATTTCCGATTTAGCACACACACACACACACACACACACACACACACACACACACACCCTCACTCACACTCTCTCCAATACACTTCTGCAATCACATCTGTATCTTTGCAGGAGATTCTCTAGACTATGACAAAGTCTTGAAAAGTTCCCCATGAGCACTCCCTGATAATAACAAGAAAACAAATTGTTATTTTGTTAGATACGATGTTTAAAATGTTAGGACAAAAAAAAAAAAAACCACCTTAGGATTAACAATCAATTATGAATATCTAAAAGCTAAAGAGGGAACACACTGGTTGCTTGCCAAATTCCTAATTGTTCAGAATGAGTAAATCCAATACTTACAAAAGGATATGGGCTTCTCTCAATTCGAATATTTTGTGTTGAATTAAACATTCGAAGTAGTCCATTGCTAACAATATTCACGAGAATAGGAAAACAGTGCAGCCTCAAGGTATTGCACACAACTGAAAATCTATAATCCTTTGAATAAAACAAAGACAAAGTAACGCTAATTCCAAATCACTAAAGAACAACAAAAACGCTTTCATATTAATATTCTCAATATGGTTGACCCTTGAACGACACGGGTTTACCCTACACAGTTCACTTACACGAGAATTTTTTCCCGATAAATATAATACAGTAGTGTGAGTGTGTTTTCTCTCCCTTATGACTTTCTGAGTAACATTGTCTTTTCTCTAGCTTACCTTATTGCGAGAACACAGTATATAATACATAGAACACACAAAGTATGTGCTAATCGACTGTTTATCTTATCAGTTAGGCTCTGGTCAACAGTAGGCTCTAAGGAGATAAATTTTTAGAGAGTCAAAAGTTATACATGGATATTTGATTGTGCAGGGGCTTGGCGCCCCTAACACCCATGTTGTTTAAGGGTCAACTGTACATGAAAACATCTTTAGGGTAGTTAGCCATTGAATAGGATTCCTTAAAGTCATGGTTGGTAATTATAAGGTCTAACATTTTATTGAATCCGAATAATGCAATTACATTTAGCTACTTTCATATGTAGAAATCATCTAATTCCAAAGTTAAGATAGGAAATGTTTTACAAAAGCTCACTTACATTTCACAGTTTATTCAGTAATGATCCCCAAATGCTTTTAAATCAAGTTGAGTGTACTAGCTGGGTTGATGCCGTTTTTAAAACAGTTAAAAATGTAGCGCTTCGTTTTTGTCTTTTTTTTTCATAAAAGGAAAAGCAAGAGACAAGAAGCAAACATACCTTTTGTTTACCAGAAACTATGATAGCTCCGTTGTATGACAGGTCACCAGTGCCATTTCTGTTTGCAAAGTCATCTACTTCCAAAAGTATATTCTGATGCTTCAGTGACTGTATAAAATCTTCAATGTTTGACTCTAGTATGAAATCAATAACAGAAGCCCACAGAACGCAAGAACATACATGTCAAGTCTTTCAAATAAACCACAACACAATTTAAAGTCAATACGTACACAACATTATGCAAAGTCATGTCTCTTTGGGCATCACGATAATGAGATTAGCCCACTCTACCATTTCCTATTTATCAAATCTTGTGCTGCGATGACTTAGCTTTACAATTCTTTTTAGGGCGAGTTAACATGTAACTATTAAACCAAGATTATTTTATGACTCTTGGCTACAAAAAATATACTTGAACTCAATAATTTGTGGAAATACAATCAGTACTTCAGATGAGCCAGCCTAAAATGGCCAATAATAATAATAATAATAATAATAATAATACTTCCCTCTCTGCCTTATTCTTCAAAAAACAGAAAAGTAAATATATACTATGTGTATGTTAACATATATGTATATTTTATGTACATATCTATTACCTATATATATTATATATTTCAGGAGTACATATTATATTTTAAATTATGTAAATTAAGATCTATTTTATATAATATATTAATATATATTAAATATGTATAAATATAAAATATGTTAATATGCTTTTAATAAATAAAAATAAAATTATATATGTGTGTGTGTGTGTGTGTATATATATATATATATATATATATATATATATATGTCAGAAATGAGAAGAGTGCCACTATCAGACCAAAGTTTTTGATATGCCCCTAAAGAAGAAAGCAGATGAGATTTGTTTGACAGAGAAAAACCCACAGCCTATTTCCACTATAAAGGAAACACCAATTTCCAGGATATCTAAACTCAGAGTGGAAAAGTTCAAGGGGGCAAAGTGGTCTCTGAAGCCACAGTCATGCTCATTAACCGGTCAACCCCACCTGAAACAAAGTGCCCACAGTCCTCTCCCATGTTCCACATGGAACAGCTGTCCCCAGGAGACAAGTCCCCAGATTTACTTGTTAAGAGATACTATTTGGGGAAAACCGCAGGGCAAGATTGAAAGTAACTCCAGACAATTAAAAGGACAGGATGGAATTGAAAAAGAAACAAGGGGGGACTCTCGTTTTTTGCTCATTTGGACTTCAAAATGGAGTTCACACTGGGACTCAGAAGGGGTTCTGGGATCAGAAAATTCATCTGGGTCAAGCCCCAGATGAATTAGGATTCCCACCAGGTGGGAAAGGAAACGTGTACATAGAAAATAAGCTTTCCATGCATCCTGAGAGTGTGACACTCCATTTCCACAGTCACCTGAGGAAGGAAACCGTAACGGTTACCCACATTCACTTAGGCAAACAGGGCTTCTTTGATTTAAAGATGAACATCTTACCAAGAAGCATCATATTTTGAGAAAAGAGGAACAAGACGGCATAGAAGCCTCAAACTTAAATCACAAAACACCTCACAACTGAGTCCAGGAAAGGAAAATAAAACAAGTTAATCCAAGTATATTGCTCTTAGAACAACAACTGGAGAGGAAGCTTTACACATGAGATAACAATAGGCGGAAAGACAAAAATGAATAGGCTGGCAGTCATAGCCTGAAACCAGTAGCAAGACTTCCCATTTTAAGGTAGCAGAGTGAATAAAATTTACTTTCTAAAACCAAAATTGAAAAGAGAATGAGAAACAGAAATTAAAAGGCCACCTTTGTTTAAAGAGGAGAACCTATAACCCCAGGTCACAGACATATATGAATATTGGGATGGACTGGGTTACTCATCAAGAGAGGACTCCTATGCTGAATGTGTGTGTGTGTGTGTGTGTGTGTGTGTGTGACATCTTAGGCAGAAACAAAAGCTTCCTCAAAATTAAATAAGAAGTTAGACAAAACCAATTACCCATAATTTAGAATAAATAAGAGCCTGGGTACCAAGCCGTCTTCAGGAATCTTCCTAGATCCTATTGGAGGGGCATAGGGTATAAAAGTTTCTTTTCATGTCAATCAGTGTGTATAATATTTATGGAACAGGTTAGGCTGCGGCAACAAAGAGATTTCAAATAGAGTGGTTCAATCAATACATAAATTTATTTCCCTCTCACATAATAGCTTGGGGTAGTCGGGGAGATAGGTAGTTCTTCTTGAACTAGGTTAACTAGTGACCCACATTCTTTCTGTCTTATCCCACCATCACTATCATCTCCAATATCAGAACAAATATGCATAGTTCCTCAGCTGTTTTCTATAAATGAAGTCTAAATGCACATTTTCTTGTCTTACGATTTGGTTTTTTTCCCCTCTCCATAAAAATAACTCAGTTCTGGATTAAAGTCTTGTGTTTCTCTTCACCTGTGTTATTGATGATCAATAAGCTGGTACGAGGGTCTTCGGGGGGTTGTCCAGGAGAGAGGAAATACAGCTCAGGTTTAAATTCCCAATCACTCTTTTGAAATAATATGGCATAAAGTATCTTTTCCACAACCAGAGGGAACACTGCAATTCCAAATACCAAGAGTCTACCAATAAAGAAAAAATAACCATGTATCTGTAGCAATTTCATTTGCCACCAGATATTCCACAAATATTTGTTGGGTGCCAACTCTATGCCAGCCATGATTACGGCCGCTAAAATTTTGAAAGTCAGACCTTAGCATGCCACACAGTACAAAAAGGTGTTGCTGTATAAACACCAGGCTGTCAAACCATAAAAAATTAAACAGACCTATGTATAAGGCCAATCAAGTGCTGCCATGCAGGCATTTCTACTGCTGTCAGTAAAATGAAATGTTGTATTTATCCATTTTCTAGCAGGAATGTTGGGTACCATGTTCTAGTTTTAAATTGTCTTCTGACTCAACCCTCTCTTGAAACTCACTAACAAAACTGCGGTACTCTGATACTCACAAGGTCAAAAGCTCTTTCTTTCCATGTTTTAACTTCAAGAAACGGAGCCGTGCTATTGCGCAAATCTGCATCTTCCAGAGGCCCAAGTCGCTCATATTCTTCTGCGTTTCAGGGAGAGAAGACCAAGCTGGCTCTATGTCATGTAGGCTTTCTGTGTCTCTTATCACCTCTGCTTGTTCAAAATCTACACGCACGCACACACACACACAACACATTATTAATGCCATCCTTGGGCATCACAGTTTTCTCTTTTTAGTAACATTAAAAATTGTTTTATGATAGTTACAAAGGAAACAATATAAGAAACGAATTATATTTATGACATCCACATTCAACGTACTGAGTGATAAAATATAACTAAATTCATACCCAAAAAAACATTCGGTAAAGGGTGACCTCATTATGCCAAGCCTTTGATAAGGCATAGAAGGTTCCGTATGTAACAATATTCTGAGGGATTTCAAGAAATATTCTCCATAGAAATAACCAATCATTGATGCCTACACGTTGGCTAATAAGCTGTCAATAATTTTGAAATGGAGGCAAAAGATTACCGGCTCTGAAACCACCAGACGTGGACCTGATTCCCAAACACATGACTTATAAGTATCATTATTTGGGACCAATCACTCAAGTGCTCTTAGGTGTAGTTTTCTCCTATGTAAAATGATGCCAATTGCATTTTTTTGGGAAAGGCTATTGTAGAAAGCTAATGCACTATATCCATACATTGATCCAATTTTCAGGCATAGCATCTCCATCAATGACTGCTTTTATTATTATCACCCATCAAAATACATAGGAGATGATCCTAGCTTTTTCCCCATTAAGACCTTGGTGGAATTCTGTACACGGACAAGCTAAGAACAATTTTGGGGAGACATCCTCCTCAGACTTCATGACCTTGGTCAAGACACTTTCACATCCTCAACATATCCAAGAAGCAGCAAGCGTCTGGGGGATGGGGGAAAACTGCTGACATGGGAAGCAAGTTGTCCGCAAAGGGAAATTTGGTATATTCCAAGAAGGGAGCTGTGTTCAGTCCTAGTAATGATGTTAGAAAATAATGACAGCCTTTCCCAAACAGCAGAGTCAAATGTGGAATTATTCACATTCTTTAGTATAAATCATGCATAAGACATTATCAAATACTAAATGAATACATGATTATTTGGAAACTGAGTTTCTGTTATTTATACAACAAATCTACCTTGTTCGATAGTTGGTTTTCCTTCCAGTTTCATGAAGACGTCACTCAGAGTTGATGTGGAAACGTCATAACTCATCACACCCTGGTCAGAACACTTATCAAGATCACTGAAAAGGTCTAAGGCAACAGATGGGAATAGATACATTTTAAATACCACATTGATAACAAAACCCAGTAAACTAATGCTTATTTAGGAGATGATCCAGAATGTTGTTCAGAAAATATATGTCTTTGGATTACCACAGTAAGCAAAAGCAACATTTTATTAGAATGTTCTCTGAAATGAGTATGTCAGAACTTTCCCCTCTATCCTCAAACCATCTGTACTCTACCTTCTATTCTCAGCTCATGAATTCCAGAATACTTCTTTGAAGAAATACGAGCAATCAGAAAGAACATTATCTTCTCCCCTCCACACCACAAATCAATGTGTATTTCTACCCATATTCTGGGTCTTCATTCTGTATGGGTGGAAGACGTATAGCTGTTCCCACCAAGGCTACCTCTTTGACTTGTGTTCCCAATTCCATCCCATTCGGGCATCTTGAAGACTTCCTAAAGCAATTGTCCCCCCTTCTCTGGCCTGTATCATCAATTTCTCCTACATCTACTGGGCCATCTCAAACAGCAAGCATAATGCTGTAAAGTCATCCAGTAAATAAAGACAAGTAACAACAACAACAAAAACCTAATCTCCTTCCCACTCCCCCACCCCCACCACACACGTGTACCCATGGCTCAAAGATTTGTCTACTCTACCACCTTCAATTTGTCACATCCTATTGAACTGAACTCCTCAAATCCAAATGCTACCCCTATCCTTCCACAGAAGCTGTTCTTTCCAAGGCCATCAGTGACTCCACGTTTTAAAGTCAATGGACAAAAGCTTTGTTAAAAAATCCTTTTAACTCTCCCTGCTCTATCTCTTTCTCTGTCTCTGTCTTGGTCCAGCTCAGTGACATTCACAGCTGTTGACTGCTTCCTCTTTCTACAAACATTGTTCCCTTTGAGTTAGTAAAAATGTACATATTCTTTTGTTTTTCCTTCAAGTTCATGGCAGGGGGGGCTCTTGATTTCCACCATTCTCTGACTCTTCTTCTACTTTGTCCTGAAGGCTCAGTCCAAGGTCACCTCTTTCCATACACTCAAATCCAATCCCTTTGCATTAAATCCATCTGTATGCTAATGATTCCCAAGTTCAGTTCTTACTTTGAGTGTTCTCTGATGTCCAATATCCTATAATCAAATGTATAGTCACTTGACCTCTCCCCTTTGAAGTCTAAAAGCATCTCAAAGCAAACTTGCTACAACAGAACGTCAATTCCTCCTTCTCATCCTATCCAACTGTCTCTCTCCTCATTTTACAATAAATGACACCACCTTCCACCTGGTGATTCAAACCAAAATTCTAGAAGTCCCGTTGGATTTTTCACTTTTCCTCATGCTCCACAGACTGGCCAACATCCAGATTCTTTGACTTTATCTCAAAATATGTTTCAGGGGTGCCTGACTCTTGGTCTTGGCTCAGGTCATGGCCTCACACTTCCTAAGTTCAAGCGCTGATAGTGCAAAGCCTGTTTGGGATCCTCTCTCTCCCTCTCTCTCTGGCCCTGTCCTGCTCATGCTGTCTCTCTCTCTCTCTCTCTCTCTCAAAATAAATAAGTAAATAAACTTAAAATATATGTATGTTTCAAATCCACCGACTTTTATCCGTCTTTCAACCAGTACCATGGTAGCCCAATGATCATCATCTTTCACCCGTCACATGGCTGGTCTCCCAGTGTCTACTCTTCTTCCTCTATATCCAGAGTGCTCTTGTATAGCCCGAGAATGAAAATATAAGTCACATCACATCAATCCCCCATTTAACGACTTCCAGTGGTTTTTCAGTGCATTTAAAATAAAATTCAGGGGCGCCTGGGTGGCGCAGTCGGTTAAGCGTCCGACTTCAGCCAGGTCACGATCTCGCGGTCTGTGAGTTCGAGCCCCGCGTCAGGCTCTGGGCTGATGGCTCAGAGCCTGGAGCCTGTTTCCGATTCTGTGTCTCCCTCTCTCTCTGCCCCTCCCCCGTTCATGCTCTGTCTCTCTCTGTCCCAAAAATAAAAAATAAAATAAAAAAAAACGTTGAAAAAAAATAAAATTCAAACAACGCATGACAACCTCTAAAGCTCTATATGAGTGAGCCTCTATCTACCCCTACAACCCTACTCATTCCCAGTTGCCAGTGTCCTCCTGCACTCATTGCACCCCAACATCTCTTTCCCTCCTCTGCTTGGAATGCTTTTGATCATTTTCTTCTTTGGGACTTCTGACACTGTGTAAACCCCAGACTGACATTCGTCATCTTTGTAACCCATATGGCCTTGTTTCTTATTGTATTATAAAATTGTAACATAGCTTGGCTTATTGTGTGTGTCCACTTCTCCCCATCCAATGGAATGTAGGCTCTGTGAGGGTAGGGACTCCTATGTCTTACTTAATTCTGCATCACTAGTGCCTCGAGAAGTGTCTTTTCTTTAGTAGTTCCCAATTAATATGTATTATTTATCTCTTCCATATTTTGTACAGGACATATGTGTGCCATTGGACTTGCAGAGGCCGGGGACTCTGGTGTGACATGTTCTCATGGTGGCGTCAGCACATAACTCACTCTTCTCCTTCCCCAACCAAAACAGAAGGTAGGTTAGTTGTATCTCACTGGACGTTAGTCCCAGAACAGAATAACATAGTACAGCCTGGGGACGTGAGAACATCATCTTCCAGCTCCTACAAGGACACAGAGAGCTGCCTTATCTGGGGGGTGAGACTAAATCTGAATTCCTGAGTATTTGCTTAATAAGATCCAGTCACCCAAATGAGTCTGTGTAAATCAGCCCCGCAGAGAGTTAAACCTTTAATAAGCTAAATTTATTAAGTATAATTTAATTATATACTTAAATTATTAAGTATAATTTAAATTTATTAAATTATTAAGTTTAAACAAAAGGGAAGCTGCTTAAATAAAAAAAGACTGAGATATATCTCCTCATTGTTAAGACAGGGAAAACTCTAGCACCCACCTCATAGAATAGTTGTGAGGACTCAATAGTTGATATGTCCAAAACTAGTAGAACAGTGCCTGACCCGCAGTAAACATTGCAGAAAGAGTTAGCGATTATTAGAATTACTTATGGAACAAATCCTAGGTTGGGACTGCTACCCAACACACAGAACCCAGGGGGAACACTTTTGTGGAACAAATAAACTACGGGGTTTTTTTCTTCCTGCAAAGTAAATCTATGCACAGTTAAATTAAAATACAAAAGGGAATCTATAGCAGACACCCCGATGCCCCACCCCTATCTCTTCTGTACTCACTTAGACGCAGTAAATCTGCTTATTAACACCTGTCTGATGGCATTTTTTTCTGGGCTCTGAAGTATGTTGAGTTCATGTTGAGCACGAGCCATATGGGTTAGAAACGTAATGCTCCTGGAAGCAACCCTTCACTGATGAAGGATAGGGAGCGGTGAATAAACACCCCAGCTTTGTCACCCCTCTGGTGACATAACTCCGAGCCCCTTGCTCGTCGATTCATTTATTTATGCCAGTGATATTATATCTCACATTCTTATTGCAAACACCTACTCAATAATGCAAACTTCCCGAGCTTCCTTCCATTCCCTCTCTCATGTCCCATTTCCTGCTGGTGTTTCTAGACATCAATTACCAAACATATTGCACTAAAGTCTTCATCTCGAGTTCTGCTTTTCAGAGAAACCAAATCCAAATCCACTTAAATAATGAAAACTGTAAGAATGGGGTAAAGACTTGTTCCCAAATTTCATTCCACTATAATCGTACTAAAGTTACCTGGAAATTTATTTGTCCTTTCCACAGGCAAGGTATACACAAGCTTTTCTTTGTTTTCTGTTTTTAATTTAGCATCAGGGATGTAATGATTAATGAAGGATGTTATTTTTTCTGGATCACATATTTCATTTCTGTACAAACTAATATTTAAAAGAAAAGATCATTGATTTGTATTTTCTCTACTGCTGTCACAAAAGAAGAGCTTTTATTGAATACCTAGCCTTTGAGTACCGCTTTACTTGGCTTTAGGGGAGGGACAAACGAAATGAGTAAAATAATAATAACCACAACAGAAGTAATAATAATAATAATAATAATAATAATAATAATAATACCATCAGTTTGACAAGTCTTATGACCTATACAGAGAAGGTGTATAAATTCAGAACAACTACAGATAGACAAACAAATACATGCTGTAATTGAAACTATACTTCCAGTAGGAAGAAAAGCAGAGAAAGGTGAGAACATTAGGCAGAAGGAATTGCTTAGGGAAAATAATTACTACACCAGACTGTGCAGGTATCGGGAATTAGTGACTGACAGAGAGGTTTGGCCTATGTGTGTGTTTTGTTTGGGCATAAGGTTTTTAGGTTTGGGTGTTGTTTTTTTTTTTTTTTAATTCTTTTTACCTAGACACACTTTCTGGTTAGACACGGTACTCTTCCTCTCTGCCACCAGATTTATTCCCACGTTTGATAGTAGCTTCTGGAACTATTTCATTTTGTGCCCAATGAAAGAACGAAACTATGTTCCAGGATTGTATGAATCAGCCGGGGGGAAGTGGAGGGTGGGAAGAAGACAGAGGCTGAGGATGCCTTTAGGATGCACAGAGCAGGTACCTGGAAAGTGGCCCAGCCCTCCTGGGAGCTGTCAGCCTGGGCTTATAATCTTGCAGTTTTGCATATCATTAGCATTACTGGAGATACAAGGAGACAGGAAAAACATTCGGGGAGGACTAGTCACTAGTTTGGCAAATACGGAGCACAAGGACAGTTGGCCCTCATAATGGTCTGCCTTTTTGATATACCAGCATTGAAAACATAGATATGCGTACATCCAATCTACCCCCAAAGTCTTTACCTTAAGTGATATCCAAGACCCCATTTTCTCTTCAAAAAGACAGAAGATCCTGCACACTTCAGTTTCCCATTGGACATGATCACTTTTCTATCTGATTAAAAAGAAGCAAGAAAGAAAGGATGTTGGGAGTCACTTTTTCCCTCACTAGAAAATACAGGTGAGGAACCAAAGCTCAGATTTCCAAAGGAAAAGTGTTCCACAGGAAATGAATATATTGAATACGCCTTTAAAAATTTGAAATACCCATTAAAATTGATGCATTTAAAATGAGATTCTGAATTCTAGTCTATGTCTGCGCCCTCCAATAATTCTTGAAAAAAAGAATTCCCAGAAATTACATTGGCCCATTTTCTATTCTGGAGGCCAAACAATAAGTGGATATGTTTCAACCCCACATATATTGATTTCAACGTTCAGACTCATTGAAAGCTAAAACAATCACGGTTTTTTTTTCATGAGCGGTCATAATCCAGTCGGTGTGGAGTTCTATAGGGTATTAGACCCCAGACGGCCATGACACGGAAGGTTCGCCGAGGTCACGGGAGCACAACGCTTGCCCTAGAGATACACATTTCCCCAATTCTTTATCGTAATACTGAGATAACACCAACAATTACCAGCCAGGATGTCAGCCTCATCCATGAGATTGGTACTCAAGAGGATCACACGGCCTGCTTTGTGTTCCTTGAGGAAGCTCCACATTCGATGCCTTGAAAAGGGATCCAACCCAGCAGTTGGCTCATCTAAGAGCAAAATCTACAGAGGATGACAACGTATAAAATCTCTCTCTCCCGCGGTAACTATTTCCACATGGTAGCATGGGGAACAGTAAACAGCAAATAATAATAACTACCCAGCGTTTATGTTCCAGAATGCTTGCAATCGTAGTTTACCAGCGGAGACTCTCTTGACACATTACAATGACACCTCTGCTACTTTTAGGGGTCAAAGGAGACCCCGACTTTTTACTAATATTCAGTCCACATTCCACGGCACGCATCGCCACACTTACTTGAGGATCTCCTAAAATGGCAATCCCAAAGGTCAGCTTTCTTTTCTGTCCTTCGCTTAAATGTTCAGCGAGGTTGTCCTGAATGTTTTGTATGTCCAATTCTAATAAAATCCTTTGTACCTACACAAGAAAACACACAACACTTAAAATCCAAGATGATGCGGACTATACGATTTTAACCGTCCACGACAGCAGTAGATCTGTATTTTTTACTAGGACCTCTTTGCCTAAATTTTGTTCCTGACCGGGTAGGTAAATCCCTGAGGGGAATTCTGTGGTCATGATTTAGCTTGGCAAATTTACCCTGTTAATCCAAGGCATGCTCCTTTACCTCTCGTTCTACCTCCTGTGGCCGAATCCCTTTTATTTTAGCAAACAGCCTGAGGTTTTCCTTCACCGTGAGGATGTCAAATTGAACATTGAATTGAGGACACACGCCAGTCATCTTTCTGATTTCCTCCAAGTCTTGTGTCTCAGAGGGATTTTTATTATAGATGGTAACTGATCCTAAACACAGAAGTCAAAAATAATTTAACATGGGGAAGAGAGAGTGTTTATTAATGCTTAAGATCTTCTACAGGAAAACATTGGCATTATGTCCACAAATATCTAAAATAATGACTTTGTAAGTTATCAACAACTCTGGATTAACCTTAACATAAATATATGTTCAGGGTGGTCTATATTTTCCCTGGACTATCACATAACAATGAAATAAGGATAATGCTTTTCACGAAAACCTGGGAAACATGAGATATATTCAAAATCATGGAGTCTGGCAAGCAATGTTAGATAAACAAACAGTATTTGCTCTTACACAGTCAAATTTAACCTTAAAATAAGAAAGGCAACATATGACCTCATTCTATCACTGCACATATTGCCTTTGAGAAATTTCTTTTTGCTCACCTTCTGTTGGAACAGACGATCCATTAAGGATGTTTAGTAATGAAGATTTGCCAGCTCCATTATGACCCAGAATTGCTGTGATTTGCCCTTCATATATGTCAAGGAGTAAGTCTGTTTTTAGAATAGAATATTAACATTAAAAATAAGAGGGCGTTAGAAAGGGCTTGGTTCTAAACATAGAACAAAAAATTCATTTTAGTTGGATATTCTCAAGTCTTTCAATAGTTTATCCAATATTCTCCTGGCTGCTAAAATAACATGCTTCCTGTACAGTATTTGGAAATACATACAACCACCTAAGAAGACCAAATTAATTACAATTTCAAATATTAACATTGGAACACAATTACTTCCATTGTATATGCATGTGCATATGTGAACATGTAAATATATATACAGATTTTGATCATATTCTGTATTCTTTTCTAGCCTACATTTCAAATATTAAGTGATAAACATTTCTCATGACATTAATTACCTTTTAAAATATATCAACCAAAAATTGTATTTTCCCCTGTTATAAATTTTTCTATTCTTTCATTACAAACCTTTTGCACTTACAGGTCAGTAGAAGAAAGTCATTCACCTAAGAATCCTTTCCATTATTATTTTTTGTTTGTTTTCTCTACCACCAAGTGAAAACCACATTCTGTTTTGGAAAGTCGTTGGATGAAATTCTTAAGAATTTTATAATACATTAAGTCTAAAAGATCAGGTTCCTTCAGTTAAATTTGTGACCTACTTTCAGACATTATTGAAATTAATTAACAACTGGGATGAATTCCAGTTCGTTCATTTTCTATCTGGATGACCTTGGATGAACTAAACACTATGAGGTTCACTTTACTCAACCATTAAATGTACTAGGAATAATAATTACATGTAAAGCGAAAATTCTTCCTATTGTAATCCAATCCATTAAAATACTCACTTATAATTCGTTTCAAAGATTCTAAAAATCATTGGAAAAATAAGCTCCAATTATTAAGAAAAATGAAAGAATAGTAAGAAATTAGTCTTGGCCACATGATATTAAAATTATTAATGATTAAAATAATATGTTAGTATTGGACAACTATAATAATTAAAGTAATATGTTAGTAATAGAGTAACACCAGTGGGATAAATATAATAATTAAAATAATATGTTACTGCTTTAGGACACACTGACTATGGAATGTAAAAGAAGCCTAAGATGGACCAAAGTAAACAGAAAAAATAAAGATTAATGAAACAGGCTATTAAATTCATCAAAAAGATGAATTAATTAATAAATAATATTGGGAGAACTAAACAAGCACATTAACAAGTTTTACATTTATTGTTTATAAATGGAAAAAATGACGTTTTCAAAAGTAAGAGAAAACTGATGATCTCTATCCTGGAACTGACCCATATTAACTGGAAAAAAAGAAATACAAGCCTCAGTTCCTCATCTGCAAAATGGGAGAGATACTATTTATCTGACAGGATTCAGTGAAAAAGTCAGTGTAACTCACTTATCATTGTTTCCATGGAAGTCATCTAACTTTAAGTGTTCCTATTATTACTGCTGTTGCTTTTAATTATTGCTTCTTCCCACAAGTGTATACATTTTTATAACCTTGGAGGGAAATGATTTGAAATATGCATAAAATCTTAAAAATATAGTCCCTTTGAGTTATCTGCTTTTAGAAATTTGTATCCACATCGCTTCTCGGCCTTTTGGCTAAGATCAAGTGTAGAAATTTGTATCCACAATTATACTCACAATGATTAAACAAGAAGGCTTATTATGGTGGGGTTTTTTTAATGTTAATTTATTTGTTTTTGAGACAGAGAAAGAGAAAGCGAGTGGGGCAGGGGCAAAGAGAAAGGGAGACAGAGGATCCAAAGCCACTCTGAGCGGACAGCATAGAGTTCAATGTGAGGCTCATGGAACTGAGATCAGGACCTGAGCCCCTGCTGAGCCACTCAGTCACCCCCTAGTGTTTTTTTTTTTTTTTTTTTTTTTTTTTTTTCTTTTTATGATAAGGACAAAATTGGAAACAAGCCAAATTTCATTCACTAGCGTCAGTCAATTGAGGTGTCACACGTGGGAATCCCATTTAGCCACTGAAAGCCAGGCTGCCGGTAAGGACTTCAAAGCGTGTTCCCAAAGGTGTTCCAAAGTTGCTACAGGAAGTAACTGCGAGGGGAGAAGGTTGAGAGCATGCAACTCCCCATTACTTCCCCAAGAGCCCCTGGAACTGTTGATTTCATACAGCGTTTCTACGCAGTGATTTTCATCACTTCTAATTTTTTAATTTTTTTGAAGATGTTGTAAAAAGTCGTTCGTGGTTATTGACGAGTACAAAAGTGGTTCATAATGCACGCTGGAAAACTGAAATGACAAATTTAAAAAAGACTCCAATGTATCCTTGGCGAAAATTCAAGAAAGAAACCACAGATCGAGATGGTATTGGATGGGAAAAACCTGGGGGTAGGCGGCGGGGCGGAGAACAAATTTGCTGACACGGGTACAGAAAATTCTCAAAGTGAGAAATGACCTCAGAGGGATAAGTGAGACTGAGTTAAGGCACACTACGGACTAAAAAGTAAATGCAATACTAAAGCACTGGACAGACAACCATGAACCTTAGGGAAGGTCTCTGGCTCTTCTTTTGTAACTTCTCAGGTTTCCCGTCTCTTGTAAAAATCAGTCACATTCTTCCTAAAAATCGTTACTAATAAACACAGGCTGTCCTCTATAAAATGAGGCCACTAACTTGGATCTTACCTAAGTATTTGTTACAGAAAACTATTTGTCAGAATCTGGTATCAGATGCATTGGTTCATCCAAACTTCTAACTGTGTTTGCTGTGGAGATGGTCACTTGTGAAATTTCATTCATGGTTAATGGCGTTTCTCAACTTGTTTTATTTATTTTTAATATTTATTTATTTATTTACTTAAACTCAAGTTATTTATTTATTTATTTATTTATTTATTTATTTATTTAAACTCAAGTTAATTAACATAAAGTGTAGTCTTGGTTTCAGGAGTAGATCCCAGTGATTCATCGCTTACGTATGACACCCAGTGTTCCTCTCCAAAAGTGCCCTCCTTAACGACCATCACGTGTTTAACCCATCCCCCCCGCCCACCTCCCCTCCAGCAATCCCCAGTTTGTACTCACCTTGTTTTAGTTAATCTCACCAGTACATAGAAACTATATAAATTCCCTGGCTAGTATAAAAATATATATATCAATTTTACGTCTAGATGGTCTTTCCTCACAGTGCAAATAAAATACAACATTGTTTTTAGCAAGCCGTCTTTAAAAACAAAGTGAAATCATACCTTTCATTGCATGGCCCTATTCCTGTAAATTAGTGAATCCATGAAACACCTGGAAGGATTTTAGAGCCAGTTCTCAATCACAGTTAATCTCCAAATGGTGGAGTTAGCTTGTTTGTATTCTGTTTTCTTTTTCTGTTTTGCTTGTGTGCATGTGCTCATTTTTCATGTGGAATTCTCCCCATTTTTTGCAATAACGAAGTCAATGAAACAATGAAACGTTTCTCTTTACCTTTCAGTGCTTCTATTTTTCCAGACTTTCCTGTATATTCTTTTTTGACGTTTTTGATTCTGCAATGACAGAAGTAGTGTTTACTCAGCCAACGAACGCAGAAGTGAAAGCAGCAGAGGTCAGGAACAACCCCAGTCACGGTGACAGATACACCAACCCCCTTATGTGAAATAAGGGATGCTATAACCAGTCTGCTCAGAAAGACAGAGACTTGCTTTTGAGTAAGCATTTTCCCCAAGAGAGAAAATAAAAGTCGCTTTAGAAAGTTACAGTTATTAATGTTTTGCTTAGAGAAGCAGAACACTTTAGAATGGTTCTCACCTTCTGTCTTTGGATGTTTTCTACTCTGTACACAATCAGCTCGTTAATCCGCACTCTTTAACTCTCCCCTCTCACCCTCTTCCATGCCCTCCCATCCCCTCCCACCCCTTTCAACCTTGTTCATTGATCAGACCCTCTGTCACCTGCATTTTCTATAGTTTCCTCTCTGATAGCTTCTCTTTGGCCTGTACTCTGCTTTGGATACAATCAGATTTCTCTCCTCTTTAAAAAAAAAAAATTTTTTTTTAAATCTTTATTTATTTTTGAGAGAGAGAGACAGAGTGCGAGCAGGGGGGAACAGAGAAGGGAAACACAGAATCAGAAGCAGGCTCCAGGCTCTGAGCGGTCAGCACAGAGCCTGTTGCGGGGCTCGAACTCATGAACCATGAGATTGTGATCTGAGCTGAAGTCGGATGCTTAACCGACTGAGCCACCCAGGCGCTCCTCTCCTCGTCTTATTAAAAACAAT